ACTTATTTCATTATTCTGCAATTCTTTTATGTATGATCCACATTCGGAACGCTTTATTTGTTCAGTTGCTTCCAGCGCTAACTTTCCACGGTGCTAATAATTTCGGCGATTGAATCAGTACAATTAGGTTCACTTATTTCTAGAAAAATCAATTAACTAGTACTTTGGCATGTAATTTTTTTTAACGGTTTATATACGTAAGTAATAATTGCAATTAATAAATGAAATCATATAAAAAAAAAATGCAATCGTTACTTGGCGTATCGTTGCATTTACTGTGTTCACTGAAAACTTTTAATTAAATTAATTTTATTTTATTGCATACAAATACAACTAAAATTTCACGTAGGTGCACAATGTTTAAATAATAAATTTTTAGGTATGTTAATTAATATATTACTGCTATTGCTATATACCATATTGTGATATCAAATATTTATGTTACTGTCAGGTTGTTAATATCTGCTGTTTATAATTGAACCAGCTACTGTATTACACATTGTAAGACAAGGCTAGCAAGTTTATAGAATAAAGAATTTTACAATCTTACAGCGACATACGCGAGATGGACATCAACATGAACCTAAACATAGAAATGTGGAATTAGCACTAATATGTCACCAGGATGTAAAACACTAAAAATTTAAGGAACATCAATTACTAAAATTGAACGGATTATGTCATAACCTTTATGCAAAATATATTTTCGTTTTTTTCAGTCACTTAATATTTATCTGAAACGTTAAAACATTATAGTAATTCAACGATCATCGCGGGAAATCGCCTTGAAGAAAGAACGCTAAGAAGTCATAACTCCCAACTCTGTATATGCAGAAAATTGATTACAATAAATATCAAGTGCATACTGCAATAATTAGAAACATTACTTTATAAAACAAATCTTGCTTCACATCGTCTGATGTCATATGATATTTATCCCTTATCCTTTTTCCATCATATACTGAATAGCGAGAGAGTACTAGAATCGAGTAGACTTAACACTAGCCTCAGACGAAACCCAGAATACATACATATACATGTAGAGGGTGGCTGGTTGGCTCGTATAATAAAACTAAGTCTTTTTTTTACTTTTTTAGTTACATATTTTTAAATATCTTAGTCGTCTTTTCTCCATCTTACATCTTACATCTTAATTTTAACTCTATGTGTAATTTTATACATCTAGAACACATAAATAAATATATAAAAGAAAGAAAAATATTAAAAACCCATTAACCCATACATATATAATGTAGTAAAGGTGTGTGTAAGGATGCGGAAGTTGTTTATAGAGGGTGGACGCAATAAACGGCATTAGTACAATCGTCAAGTGCTCATACAGTCGGTGCAATGATCACGCGCAGAATTATGATTGATAAATCAAGAGTTATAAGTGCAACAACTTGTTTTACTTATCGGACACTTAGGAACACCGTATTTTTGAAATAAAAGATAAGGAGAGTGGCAGACATTCTTGCCAACTGGCTGTCATGGTCATGGGTTAAAGTTTTATTTAAAAAACTGTGTGTATGAATAAAATTAAGTATTGAAAAGTACAATTTTTTCTATTTTGTAGAAAACAATTATGAAATAGTTCTTAATATAATCGTACTTCATAGTCATACTAATACTTATTTTCTTACTTATATAATTATTCTTACCATACGAGTCTTTATAATAAATGCGAAAGTTTAGGCGAATGAATGTTTGTTAGAGTTTGTAGCCTTAACGATTGAACGGATTTCGATGAAATTTGGTATACACGAGGAGAATTGTCTGGAAGAAACCACAGGCTACTTTTATTTGTTTAAATCCACGCAAGTGGAGTCAGGGGAAAATCGGCTCGGACGAATATCACTTCTTCAGAAGCGAAAAGTGAAGCATAAAAGCTTTGACGGGGAATATCTATAGCCTTACATTATAACATTTAAATAATAGTAATTGGCTTTACGAAGAATTTCAATACAATGTATTTATCCTAATATACGAGAATTTTCAGAGAGGTCATAATTTGTAATAATCTAAGAAACTACACAATATGGCCTCGACCTTAGGGCGTGTCAACTATATACAATATTTTGAACAAATATAACAAGGTTGTATTATTTTCAAATAAAATACTTTCAATATTTAAAATGCTACTTGAAGGATTTTTGTTAGTATATTTTGATCGATAAGATCTCTAAAGATTATCGTACTGATATATTATTTTTATTCTTATTTGTTTACAAGGTAGACATTTATGTCGACTCTAGTACTCGAAGTAAATGTCGAACCCTACAAATAAAGTATTAACTAAGTACTGAAAAACGTCTTCGGAGTAAAAATTGTAAAGCTATTTGGTTGTTTTATGTTATTACATATTTGTGAACGAGGAAAAAAGAGAAAAAAAACCGTTTTATTTAAAGTAGCGCCATCTTTAGGCTGAACGGAACACTCGAATCATAAACTGATCACACGAATACTTTTTGCTCAAGAAAACTTGATGTCTGAAGTAGTTTCAATTTAAGTCGGTAGATGTCAATGTAATAAAAAAAGGTTGTTTAAAAATTGCGTTATTTTATTCCTATAAAACTATAGTAGTTTTTTTGGTTATATTAAGCAGATTTTTTTTGTCTTTTAGCCACTGTTACTGAATAGATGATAAATTTCAATGCAATTAAATAATTTTAGCTGAAAATGTAAGTACAGTATGCAAGAAATAAATTTAAAATGGATTTAGGCTGGAAACAGATTACTCTAAACTATATAGCTTCATTTGTTTTATTTATCCTTCAACCATACTAATATTATAAAGAGGAAAGATTTGTAAATACAATTTGATCTGTTGTATGTACTTAAACTACCTGGCTGATTTCAAAAATTCTTTCACCAATGAACGGTTATATCTCATATTTTTAAAAATTCTGCACGAACGAAGTCGCGAGCAACAGCTTGTCTTTTATAAAATAGGCAGAATTAGTAAACAGTTTGCTTTTGATGTTTTAGACATAACTTATGAAAGTTTTAACAAGATAAGTTTGGTTCGTAGAAAAGTCCAATTATTGCTAATCGAAAACAAAGCCTATTCCAGGTTAACTAACAAAGCTATTTAAACCGACTACCCAAATGGAGGTTATCAATTTGTCTGTATATTTTATTTTTCTCTTAAATATTGAAGTAAATTTTAAGGGGATGATGAACATTTAATAACTCTGGTAGATATTTGAAATTGCTTCTTATCCTAATCGATTATTCACATCACAAAAGCGCGGGTTTTAAATAAAACAGTTTATTCTATTATTAAATTTAATTTAAAATATAATAAATTATTAAGTAAAAGTTGCATTAAACTATTTGGGCTTACGTATATCTTTGGTCACTAGAGTTCGTTTATACAATTACCTATAAGTAGACTTTTATCTTTTCTTGATTTAAATTTTTATATCTTCGTCGATAGATGCGTCTTTTGATACTGGCTTTTGAGATTCCAAATCTGCAAAAGAAATCATGTCTACTGATATTATAAAAGTTTGGATGTTTGTTAGAGTTTGTACCCTAAACGGCTGAATGGATTTCAATGGAAATTGGTTTAGATGTAGAAGATACTCTAGAAGAAATCATAGGCTATTCAGTTTTGTTTTTTTTTTCTTATATTTCACGCGGACGAAGTCGCGGGCGATAGCTAGTAGCTTAGGTAAAGCAAAATTAATGAAGTAATTTGCCGATAGTAATCTAATGCAGGTTACACACGTTAGTTTTTCTAACTATCCGGGGATAACCTGGTTTCACAATACACAATTTTGTACTGTTTTGTCTCACGTTCTTGGTTTCACCTGACGGTTATGCCTGCAATTTTTTTCTCCCTAAATTACACTTAGAATAATTAAATATATGTGTACCTTTATCCTTTTTTGGCTTTGACTTTAATAATACTGGTCCCAAATGATTCGTGAGTAGATAGCCGATCGGAGTTGTGATCAATATGGCCTGCACGATTAGCCTCATCAGGTCTTCGGCGTACTTCATTTGGTGGACGTCGGTTGAGTTCTTCATAATCAATGTATCGATTGCTAATGGACAGAGAACTGCCTGCAAAAATACATCTTTTTGACAACATGTACGAATATTTTTATATTAGTCTTATGAAAAATGTCGTTATAGGTTACAGTATAGATTTGTTATAGGCGGTAAACTAAAAAAAGAAAGACGCATTACCCAGAAGCAGATTTTCTGCCTTTTTTTATTGTTGTCCAACATTGAAAAAATAACTCCAGATTACGACGAAAGACAAACCATGGTAAATACGGACAATCCAAAATTTTGTCATAATCTCTTTGGAAAAGAAGAAAATGTCTTAGCAACTTTGAACAAAGATAAGGTGATAGAGAAGTCTAGGCGTCTAGAAGTCTCGATCTTGCATTTTAATTAATGTCGTTAAAGATAAGATATCAAATAAATTGACTACGATTAAATCCTCTAGTGCGCAAGCGTGGAGGGCTCTGTTTATCTTCGCTGATACTAAGTCTTGTCTTATGATACAGTTTAATAACATTTAAATGTATAGTAAACTAAGGAATTTGTAACGTAAGTTTATTTTACTTGGTTAACATCTTTGTTTTAACTGTCGGTGTAAATTGACTAGCTTTTTAATGTCACTTACATAGTAATTCAGCAATTATTCAAGAAAGTATAATTTATGCAACAGAATGTGTTTCTTTTTTAAAACATGTAGAAAACGGAAGTCATTAATAGGAAAGTAGAATTAAAAAGTTAGCAAAGGAAGCAATAAAACATGTTTGAAAATTATCTACACGTTCAACTTTGTGTACGTTATTAAAACATTTCTTTTCACAAGTCTTTAATTTAAAATTTCTTTCAGGTAAGTTATAATATAGCAGGCAGTGTGTTAAGTAATGGCAGTGCTTTCAAAGCAATCTCGTGCTCATATTCAACTTTAGACTCATTAACTTAACAAGGTGTCTGACATTGTACGTGGATAATTTAACGACACTATAACTATAATGAACTTCTCAGTGTCGCTTTTGCTTCAAAGAAATTATTAGCGCAAGTTCACTTTGAAGTATGCCTTTGAAGACATAAAAATGTATATCATTAAAAGTATATGATACAATATTAAATTTCTACGTTAGATTTTGCTAATTTGATTACCTATATAAGGTTATCCAATATTTTTTTAAACGAGTCGCTTAATAATAAAGATAAACCAGGGCAAAGTCTCAAAAAATAATGAGGTTTGCGTTGAAATAATTACCTCGACTATGGACTTAGGTATCCATGCACAGCATATAAAAAGTTTCTCCTTAATGGAAAGGTTCCAACATACAAGAGCGGCGGTGAGCAAACGTGTCGTTAGAGTTATGAGGAGAATTCCCAGTCCCACTAGCATTGTGTCCGTCACCGAGCTATGTATCTGCAAAACGACTAATAAATAGTTTCAATTGATCAAACATGCTGATAGTCGGAGCGAGAACAGATTTTAATAGTCAACAATGATATCGTAATGTAGCATATGTCTGCTATTCATTTTCTATATTGCACTCATTGTTATGTTGAGTTTATTTTTAGATACCTGTAAAGCCCGTTTAATATCCACGCAAACAGTTATATTTCATACTATAAATGTCTTTACAGTATTATTTCATGGTAAAATAGAGAAAAATTAATATACAGAATGTAAAAAAAAGTATATCGTACCACAAAAAATGTACCAGTGTAGGCAAAGAGAACAGGTTCGCAAGCAGACCAGAGCACTCGGTACACCGTCGCTGCCGGGTTCTGATTCAATTTCCATCCCTTCCGCGCCCATTGCCGTGCAGCTGTCGCGTTGCACGCCAGCACAGCTATGCCGCCTGGAATTAGGTCATAGAAATATATTGTAAAAATGATACAAAATTTCAAAGGTGAGTTCACTTTCGTAATACAGGAATAAGATGTAGTTATTACTACAATACTTGTTGCTTTATGGTACTGTTTGATTTTTTTTGCGCTTATTGGTCAGTGACTTGTTAGTTACAAAACCTGCTTTCTACTTTCAAAATGCGGTAAAAAATCTACTTTAAACCTCAGAAAAAGTGCATTAAAGACAAAAATACTGAGTCAAAAAATATTTTATTCAGATAAGATAGAGTTGTCACAAAATTTCGTATGCCAAAAAGTGTCTCACCGGTGCCTCCCCAGCCTAGTGCGGACGTGAAAAAGTTTGCGAACAGTCCGCCGATGAGCACGAATAGTATCCTGAGCTCGGTGACGTATGCGTCTCGGGCGTGAGGCACGAGCCGCGCCAGCGCGCCCCAGCCGCCGCCGAGCGCCGCGCCCGCCAACAGCGCCAGCCCCGCCTGCACACAAACTTTCACAATTTTCTCTCCCTCAAGCGTATAAAATGCTAATTTGATAACGACCACCGCAAGATTTACTTTTGATGTTTTAATAATTTTTACACAACTTCATAAAGCTGAATTTCACGAAATTATAATGTACACAATTATACGTTACAAAATGTTTTATTATTTTTACATTCCACATTGGTACTTTAATAAATTGTTCCGATGTATTTTACAATATTCGCAACACTTTACTGGTACAATTTTCTATGACATATTTATTATTTTTGTGAAAAGTTTACTTAAGTATATATAATACGTTGCATTGCACTAATATTTAAAGTATGATGCATTGCGAGTAATGTGAGCATGAACAGTTAACTAAATCTCTAAGAAACTGTGTTTATTGATGAGATTTTATTTGTTTTTCTGACGTAAATTGTAAATTCTGTACTTCTTATAGATGTTTATAAATGAATGTATCTCACCTTATTACAAAATCCTCTCTAATTCCCGGTTTTATCTTTTTAAGAAAATGTTTAATACAAAAATTGATTTAGCTATTATTTTTAACTTATACATAGCGTTAGTGTTAAATCTGGCTAAAATGTAATTCTTTTTAGTAACCTTGGTCATTTGAAAGAATGCAGCAATAATTTTTATAATCTGTTAATTTATGTTATCTTAAGTTCATAAATTCTCGAGGATGTCTAAGATTATTTCCTACTAGAGAACATTTCAATGAAATTAGAAAGGTTTTAATACGCTACGTAGTACATCGATTATTAAGTGGGCTATATCGAATTACAAAAAAAATGTATATATGTCGAACACAAGTCTTGAAGACTATGTTTACCTTAATATAACGATAGAGTTCGCTGGCGTTACTAAACATGAAGCTGAATATGAGGCCGAAGACTCCGACGCTGAGAGCGGTGTCGGTGCCACCGGCCGTGCAGACCAGCTGGGGCCAGTTCTGACTCCTGTCCGGTTTAGTACCGTGCTTCTGTATTAGAGGCATTATCACCGGACATGATACAGAAGCGTACACTGAGCCAAGCAGGAATCCTGTATAATATTACTGAATGTATGTAAATGATTCAAACGAGCATGTGGTTAAGGTTCGGTGAAGGTCAAATGATATCGTTCTAAATTAACTGATTTATTACAAATTGTTATATAAGCTGTATCTTACGCGGACGAAGTAGCGAGCATTAGCTAGTTTACCCTAATATTATAAGGAGGAAAAATTTGCATGTATTGAAATTATTCAGAAACAAATTGGTCTGATTTTAAAAAAATCACTATTAGAATTCTATGTGATCGCTGAGTAATATAGGCTATATATTTTATTATATTTTTTATTTCATGCAGGCGAAGTCGCGAGCCTCAGCTAATATTAAATTAACTATAAGATTTTGAACTCTAAACATATGTATGTATTTTAACATAATAAAATTCGTAGACATTCCTCGTGTGATACGCCTTCATATATATACGAACACATTGCAACACCATCGTCTATTATTGGGTGAGAACGTCCTGCGGTTGGAATGCATTCAAATCTTTTGATACGAGTTCTAAAACGGAATTTATTGAATCGGCTTTATACGCAATACACATTGCGCCCCATTGTCGCCACGATCGTGACAAATTTTATTATATTTCATACAATATTTCCCGCAATAAGAAAGTTAGGTTTTAATATTTTATAAACCTTGGCACTGAATAAGATTTTTTTTTATAACCATAAAGTGGTAATGTCAGAAAAAAACTGAAATGTTAGAATTTTCTTTATAACAGAAACATTTTTGTTATTTATATAACTTGAAACCGATTCCAAGGAAATAAAATGCATACGTAATGAAAAGTGCCCCCCTTTCTTATAAAAAAGCAGTTAAAAACCACTATTACAACAGCAAATAACAATTCATCTGGCCGCGTCACCGCCCTGCTTAAACTATCCTTTAAGACTCACAGCCTTTGTTGAATTTCACAGTAACTTATTACTTTGGAAGTTCATTTTCATGAATAAACACTTCTTTGAATTTAATTAATAAATTCCACTTTAAAGTCTTTAAGCTAAGAATAACAAAATACATTTAGTGGGCTAGTTTACTTTTAACTCTTTATTTTACTTATCTCGAATTTTCAGCAGTTAATGTTAGCGTTGGGTTATTGCATCCGATTCGCTTTTGCTTCTCAATTTTGCTTTAGCGAAGGCAAGCTTCTTTCAAACTTGATGTATTTTCAGGATGAAAAATACATTATATTATAAAATATGATACTAAGAAGATGATGTGGCTAAAACTATTCAGCCTAGTTGATCAAAGAAAAATTTAAATTTTACGCTGCATTATGGAATAAAACTTTTGTACAGTTTCCAGTACTTATGTAAATATATAGTGTAATAAAATTCTTTTTTTTTCACTTACCCCATAACCAAGGGAACCCTAAGAAGTAGTGAGAACAGACCGCCATGACACCCACTTCCGCTGACCAGGGCAGCACGCCTAGAGACACCACTTGTTTCCAATTGGTTTTCATATAGTCCATGTCCCATGCTAAAGATCCCTTACCCAGAATTATTACTGGGTATATTTTTCTGTCAAGCAAATTTAAAAAAGTACAATTTGATCAGTTTTATTAAAATTAACAATCGAATATAAATACTAAAATGATACAATAAAACTTTGCATGTACGAAGAAAATATATAAATTTCTTGCAATCTATAATATTTTCTTCGTTATTATGTCATCAATAATTTAATTAAATCAATAAAAAACCTCCAAGCAATATTAATATGAGCACAATGAATAGAACGATTCAGTAAATCATAAAATATCTACCAGTAATGATAAGATAAAGTACCTTAAAAACGCGTCAATGTGGGAATAATGTCGCATGTCGAGGAAGCCGAAATGGCGGGCGAATATGCCAGTGAGGAGCGCGGCGAGGAGTGGTGGTAGCGTGGTCAGCTCCTGAAGCATGAGACCGCTAGCCCACGCCACTAATGCCACTGCGACCAGCCGAAACCATTTGCCATCCCAGCCCCAATTGTCGAACGCACACCATAATAGACCCCAAGTTAAAATACCTATAAGAAATTAATCATAAGTTCTATGAGTTATCAATTTACAACAAATCTGTGTAATAATGAGATAAGTATGCAATTTGACGAGAAGGTAAAAAGGGTAAAAAGGTCATATACTCCTAAAGCTAAGGGATTCTAAGCCTTGAAAGGTCTAAGGATTGAAAGGCATTGTATTTGCAATTAATGTGATTTTATATTGTGACATTTTTCTATTAAAATTAGGATTCATGTAGAACACATATTAAATATCAAATAATTTGCGACACTAAGGAACTTTCTAGAATCAATGTTTAATCTATATTTGGAGGCCTTTGCACTTCGTTATACGTCATGTTTTATTGAGTAAAGTTGCCTTTACTATTTGCCTTTTTTGTCTAAGTTTTACCGTTTTAAAATTTGCTAGCAAAAAACGATTTGTACGCGAGCGAGATTTTTACGTGATGAATCGGTTTAACAAGGTCAGTTAAAGGCTATTGATCTATGAACAAAACACTTATTGTGCCGTTTTTTTATTTATCTTGAGCAAAAGACATATGTACATATATAATGATACATGCATTATACTTTTAATTAATGTTAACTACGAATATTAGGTAGGAATATTTTTTTACTTAAGCATTTATGTATAACTTACCTAAAACACCTAAAGTTAAATAGTGAATAAAGTCTAATTTGATTGTTGTAAACCACGACTTTTTCTTCACGTGATCATTTTCTATGAAAACTTTTTCCACTTTATTAATATTCGAGATAGTTTCAGGAGATCTGAAAAAACAACGTTTTATTTCTTGATTTAACACTTTTTTTTAATTGAAAGTTTCACAATTAATGTATCTTAAACGCACTGCATGTTGTCGGCAGCGTTCTCCCTACTTGCTCTTCCGACTAATAATCTGTTATGTTCGTCCATAAGACTTTGATTTATTATGATAGAAGAACACACGTAATTAGCGTTTATAAAGATACGAATGATACTAAAAATAGTTTGATCAAATAAAGTACTTACTTACGTTTTCACTTCCTTCTGATGGTTTTCAGTGTAAATGCGTTTATCAACACATTTTTCAGCACACTGACCTGCGTTAAAAGATCCTTGCAATGATTTGCCAATGTCATTGTAAAGGTGGCGATACATTAAAGTGGTGAAATGTATAAGTATTATTTTAGTTAACTATTCGTATATCTCATTTGTTTGTTTATCATAATGTGTATCTCTTTAAGACCTTACTTCATAGGATCGATCTGTGTATCTCTTGTGCGTATAGTAAAACCGATATATTGATTTATTTTATTAAAAGATACTGATTAATTGACAAACACGGTTTATACAATTTGCATACAGATCTATTTACTATAATCTGTATGGTTTTGTGTATATGTTTAATTAATTATTTAACCTGTTTTCGGACTTGTAGAGTAACAATAAATATTGATAACCAAAATATCGTAATCAATTTAAATTTACAATTCAGTGAATGTTTATTTAATTCTAGGAAGTATATTAATGTGACCATACAAGAATACATATTTTCCCACAATGTCAAAAATTAATGATAGCGAAGTAATTAATCACTTTTATTGGGAAAAACACACAAGTTTGTACCGCGGGTTACCGAAGTGTTATAAGATCGGTAGTAAGCAAACATTTACATGGGCCTTCTGTTCAGATAAAAATTTGAATCACCGGACACCGTCATGTGATTTAATTGACTTCCTTAATGTTAAGTAATTGAAAATCGACATTATCTAAGGCTGTACAATGTCGGCTATAAAAATGATAAAATACACGTATGCTTGAACATTGTCGATGCGCATTGCGTACAGCTTCAATTATTGTTTGTAGAAAGTTATTTAACCACTTTACTAAAAGATTATATTTTTTTTCGAAAACTTAATGTCATTTTAATGTATTTACATGAGTTATTCACTTATAGTTTATCTAAATGTTGAAGACAAATCGATTTCACGACCAATATAAATGAGGTTTGTAATTAACGTCTGTTATCTATCAGTGAAAAATATTAGATGTCACTTCTACAATAGATAAAAATCATCAAGGAAAAGTAGTTTTATTAACATAAATAGATTGAGTACTTACATTCATTCATTTTAAAAGAACCACATTGAAAACAAAGCACTATCACAAACAACGCTTAAAATAAAATAAATTATTAAGTACTTTGTTGACTTAAAATTTACAAGTAAGTCAAACAGGCCGAGTTGTCGTCTACAGTAACTAAATCCGATGAATAAAATGATCAACGGTCGGTGTGGCGCAGGGCCACAAGCCACAAGCGACATGAAATATTAAGAAGAGTGACGTCACGATCCAAATCAATAATTGTCGTTTTAAACTAATACCTCGCCGCCTTGAACAATGACTTGGCCATTGACGTGCTAAATGTGGCATTAACAATGCATTAAATGAAGTTGATCACGACTTTAACATTGTCTATTATAAAACATATGAATTTACAATACTGATGAATTTATTTCCTTAGGAAGTCGTAAGATGCGAAAAGCGGAGAACGTACGTATCCTGTGAAAGGCCTATTTCTAGTTGAATTGATACTTTCTTTAGCATGTTTGTTTTAAATCGGAACGATTTTAACGTCAGGATACAAATATGTGGCTCCTAAGTTTAAAGTCAAACTGTTTCGTTATCGGAGATTAGAAACAAATCTTTTGTTTTAAGATTTGTTTCTAATCTCCAAGATTAAGAGATGGATACTACGAATATTTTGTTTAAAGTTAATGATTGATAAAAATTATCCAACCATATTTAAACGGGTCTGTTTGGTAACGACAATGTTAAACTTTGTTCGCTTTATTTGCTGACTATATTTGCTTCGCTACTTGTCTACATTTTTAAAATATAAATAGAAACAATTTTATGATAATTTCCATTTAAAAAAGGAATAGTGATAAGTGTGCTGATTGCTGATTTGTTATCAAAGATCAAAGTAGACTTGATTTTTTCCTATTTAATTTCAGGTAAGAAATTAAAATCAGTAGTAACTTTAAAATCACTGGAAACTGCTCCATATTTCTTAAATTAAAACAACAGGAAATAATCTCATGAAATTACTTTGGCACATATTAATTTCCTGGGTGAGATCTTTGAAATATCTGTCATTAGATATGTCTGTCCGTGTTTATGTACCAGTTTACACAAAATTGTCTTTTTTAGTGTTCATGTTGTTTATTGTTTTAAGTTACGATGTTTAACTAACGATGGGTTTATTTATTCTTGTCGTGCAGTCTTCTTGAACTAGTCCACGGAATGCCTAATTTATGCGTCCGATGTTATTATAATGTGGTATTTTAGGTTACGTCTGTAATATATGCAATGTTGATATGACAAACTTTGATTTTGACATCATATTGCATATGCATAGTGTCGACTTTGGAAAGCGGAATGGCAATATGGCCCTTTATTTATGTAGACGTATAACATAAACTATGAAATTGCATATTTCGATTAATATTTGGTATTTGCTGAAGTGAATCGACTGGCCCAACACCGGAATTTTTTAAACATTTAAAGTTATAGTATTACTAAGGGATTATCTGGTTATAACCATTAAAAATCTTCATTTATTTTCAATGTTATATATTTAAAAATAAAAATACTGCTTTTTTAATTAATTAAACTAATGTCTATATTACTACTTAAAATTCTACGTAATGAAGCACCGTCTTTACGTAGTTACGCATCTATAAAATGAACTGATGTATTAGTATTTTTTCTCCTTGTGACGTCATATGCTTGGGGTTGAATTGGACTCGGTGTTTGATGAAACTCTGCAAGAATATGTTAAATTATAAGGTTTTAAACATATACTTATCGACTTCCTGTGGTGAAAAATCAAAGCTATTCAATAAGAATATGAGTTCTATTTTTATACCTGTTCATAATTGATTTCCCTTTTATGTTCTACTTATTTCAAATTAATTCATAAACCTCTAAATTTTTACCCTTTATGATACAGTAATAACTTGGCGAACTTAAATTTACGTTTTAACTTTATCCATTTATTTTAAGTTACATTGTTTTATGTCTTTAGTAAAGTACGTTTACCGGAAAACTATTGTTAAAGAGTTGCTGAGTTCTCCACACTTGTGAACAAAACAATATTCAAATTTTGTAGTTTCATAGGAGTTGAAAAACAATGTACTTACCACTGTCCCTTATTTTGGAATCCTGTGACAATAGAACTGGGCCTAAAATAGTAGTGAGACACGAACCCAAACTAGTCATTATGAGTATTGCAATAATGATTATATTCCCGTGCTGCTTTGCGATTCCCTTATCTTGTTCGGTCGCTCCGTCCTTCCACAAAGAGTCGGTAGCCACTCGTACTAACACTGCCTGAAATAATTTTGCGAATGAGTTTCCTGTTTACGAATGATAATTGTATTTATGGCTTACTTCTTTGGTAATATAGTGATTGGAAGAGGAAGTAAATAGAAAGGTATTTTCTGTATTTTTTTGTAATCATTTTACGCCCGTATTAGTAAAGCTTCAATGACTGTTGTGAAGTGTGTATTCGTGTTCATGAGTACACGAAACTGATTGTATTATTTGCCGATGTATAAATGTATTTTATCCTGATTGAAAGCATTGTTGTGTGTGTATCCGAAAAGATACAAAAACATGTTGTTATTAAGAGTATTTTTTATTTTTCGTATCAAACAAAATAAAACAGTTAGTCTATATTATTGTAATACACCGTGTAATATTGAGGTATTTTTTAAAGATTATCTTTATCAGCTTTTCGTCTTCCCTGCTATTAATGCGTCGGGAAATCTACATCTTCATTTAAAAACATAAATCGATTGCGTATCTTTTTCTTAACGTGACAATGACGCACAAGGTAAAACGGTAAAACATCGGTAGTGAGATTAAAAAGTATATAGCTTTGAGCCCAACTTCAACATTTAGTACATTCTCACAGATAGCGCCAACAAAATTGTGATAAATGTAATGCTAAGATAAATAGTTATTTAACGCTTTGTTTCATTTACTCTCTGATATCTGCTACTGTTTGGATTGTTATTGCTTGTTCTTTTTAACAAATACTATGAAAAACATTTGATTTGTTGGTTTAATCAATTATATGGCTTACAATTAAGTAGAGAAAAGATTTCAATACAAGAAAAACTAGAGTTCTTTTCAAAGTAAAGGAACTTAAATCGATAGATAGTGTTGTTGCAATAATTACAAAAGAGATTTATGGTCTGTCATACCACTGGCTGATAGAGGCTCAGATAGCTTATAATGACGTATCTGTCAGATAAGGGAACAAAATCTGATATTTCCACCACATATTTTACACGTTAGATTGCTATTAGACAACTTACAATTTGATAGGTCATGCCCTAATTGTTGTTCAGATTGTTTTATAAATTTGTTGCCGAAAGCAAACGTACTTTTAGTAAAAAAAAACACCTCCATCAAATATTTATCTGCTTTATAAAAGTAATGTTGGAATCTATTAAATGTAATAAGGATTAATATGGCCGGCGACATATCACGGGGCTGGGAATTCGCGGGCGATTAATTCAGTTAGTGGAGGATAACCCGTCGCTCGTTGCCCACCCGCGTTATAATCCAACCCTCCCCATCTCGTCCGTTTACCCATTATCTCTACGTGAAAACTGTCTATAGATATCAGAATAATTTTCTGCTCGATAGAGTTAAACAACTCTTATCTTTGGAAACGTACTATAGACGAAAGTAATGACCTTAATGTAATTATCATTAGATATCTCAGGTAGAGCGCTTACATTTTCTTTTAGCTATAAGAAGTTTCAAGTTAAGAAATTGTGTGATGTTTAAAGATAAAGGGTTTAAGAGGTAATTATTTACCCAAAGTAGAACTTACGATTTAATATTTTACAATTAAAATTAGGTAAACAAGATCCAAGTACCATTTTCAAGGTATAAACAAATAATCTTTCCTCACTTTATTATTTGAATCATAGAATGTACTATTAATGATTAGGACCACTATGAAGTCATTAAATTTTCTTAAAAGTTCCCTGCATAATAAATCTAAACATTAATTTAATGTGCATTTTTTTCTAAAGCGGTAGAGTTGTGAAAGGAATAATATAGTGTGAGAAGTAAGCTGAAGTGTATATAAGTTCCCGGCAATTGCCAAGACGTCTAAGTAAACCCGAGCGACGCAACTTTATTTACCCTATTCATTATGTACTAACTCGCTATTAGTCACTGGCTGTCTATTCCGACACGTATTGAATACATTACACACTATTATTTTACAAAGAAATATCGCTAGTCCTTTTTTATATACTCTATGACGTGTTTTACGAGTTTACGTTAAATAATACTTTTTATTTAACTTTGCACTTTAGTAATAAAAATTAATAATGTTTAATAGTGACATTTTCGCAAATAGGTATGTTTTTAAGACAAAAGTAGCGATAAGACTGTATAAACTCTATAGATTTTATTAACAAATTTTATTTTCTTGTCATAAAATTAATTAAGTATTCGTGTTTTATAAGAAGGCGTTTTCACTTTTAACATCGAGTCGGAAGGTAAATGAAAGATTTAAAACAAACAACACTTTATCGTGTTAGTCGGGACTCGGAAAGTGAATATAAACGGATTCGGCGGAGTGAGGGTGTAGTTCTCTCTTGTTAATAAAAGGTTCACTTTAAAAGTTATTTCATTTAGTTTAAGCTGGAAAGCCACGTTAGCGACGGCCGGGGGAGCTAATGATTGACTTCTTGCATGAAAAATTACCCCGACAAAAAAATACCTTGAAGGATTAAACGCCCGTATTCCTTAATCACTTTATACCACAGTCTGTGTATATTAATACGTGCTTGGCTTCGAGTTAAGATGTATGTACTTTAAATATTTGAAAAATTTCAGCACTAACATTCGTGTAAATATAACACCATAGTTGACTTTTTACATACAAGGGAAAAGTCAAAATGTCGTAATTGTGGCGTCTTTATAAAATGTTTCATTGTGTTCCTAATAAAATACGCATCTACCTATCGGCTTATTGTTTTGAAGTATCTCGAAACAATCAAATAATGATAAGCATGCAAAAAAATCATGAATCACGCGTATGAGTAATCCAATCAAGAACTCAATTTTCGTTAATCGGCTTTCAGAATGAATATTATAATTAATGAACAATCCGTACATTGTGCTGGTTGGGAGCGGTGGAGATATCAACGAACATTATCGATAACATACTTCGTATAACATGCTAGAGTTTATCATCAATTCTCAGTATATCACTGTTACACTTTGTTACGTTATCCAATAAAAAGTTAATAAACCGAATTATGTAGTACCTATTAACTTTTTAATTAAATAATTGCAACTTCTCGGACAAACAACTAAATTGTTTGTGGCATTCTTCCTGGTTCGTGTTAAGCCAGTACAGTTGAACAGTGCAACTGGCCTGCTATGGATTAACTTGACTTACTAGTGCCAGTTAGTGATATTATATCAGTTGTATAACAGTGTTGATTTTGAGGGCTACTGTACTGGCGTAATGTGAAGCATAACTTGTTATAACGTAATAACTTTTGTCCGCGACTCCGTCTACGTGGAATTAAAAAAAGCAAAAGTAGCCTATGTGTTCTTCCATATTATCCTCTATATCTATACCAAATTTAATCGAAATCCGTTAAGCCGTCTAGGCTACAAACTCTAACAAAAACACCTATCCATCCATCTAAAGTTTCACATTTATAATATTAGTAAGTATGATTAGTAAAAGCCCCAAAGAATATCTATTAATGAAATATCAGTAACGATTGACTTCATTGTAAGTTACTTGCCTAATTAATATTGAAAGTAGATGCTATTAGTAAGTATTTAGCTTTGCAGAGGTAATTAAGTCTAGAGGAGCTTTTAACACCCGCCCATTTAGAGGGAGTTTAACTGTAATGTGCCTTGTGCGAAGTAAACTTAGCAAAAGGATATTGTAATCACGTAGACGAAGACATGTTTATTCATATTAAATGTTCTACGCGATAAGACTTTACTCGCTATTGTGGTTATAAATTCATTAAAATGTACATTGAACCGTTAAATGGGACTGATTCGAGATATTTTGCATTATCGTCTCGGCTTTACTAACTCTATATGGGTGTGTCTATACAAATTTCAAGGATAAAATCAATCAAATTGAAATTAGCCGTAAAAAATACTTCATACTAATTCTATAAATGTGAAAGTTTAGATGGATGGATAGATGTTTGTTAGAGTGTAGTGTAGTTGTATATGATTGTCTGGAAGAACGTATAGACTACTCGGTTTTGTTTTTTTTTAATACCACCCGGACGGAATCGCGAGCGAAAGCTAGTGTATTAATAATATGTAAGTATATCCTATTTAAGCTGTAAGTCAAAACTCTGGAAATGTAAAAATTTAATGAACCGTTTTCTTTTTATAAACTTACCTCTACAATTGCTTTGGGTATCCACGTGACAGCAACGAATAAACTTTCCTTTACTGATAAACTGTTTGCAACAGATATCAGAAATGCCGCCATCAGCCGCATTAGTAGCGCCAGAAATAAACATCCGACAATCAACCCTAGGTCTACAAGCGTCAATTCTGCGACCTGTGAAATAATACCAAATAAAAAAATTGTTTCATTTTTTACGAGAAATAAAAAATTTGAATGAAACGTTTGTGATTCGTAAGCCCATTATCGTAACTTTCGAGGTATCCTGTCGCACTTGAAAATGGACAACGATGGCGTTTAATTAGTCGGGTCAAATAAAACCTTGTTTCCCTCTAGAAGTAACATTTTTGAAATATTTACTCGATGAGTTATATTTATTGGGAAATCACTAGCAATAATTAATATTAATATAGATTTAATAAATTTATTAGATAGGTGGCGTTTAATATTAACAAAGTTGTAGACTACTCTCATAAATACTCTTGAAACTAGTTTGAGTAAATCGAAACTACGAAGGCATGAAATTTGCTTCACAGAAACGTAAATTACGCCAAAGAAATTTAGAGGTTCAATCGATAATAATTAAAGGAGTAAATTGAAACCTTTCATTAACGATTTATTGTTTCAGAAAATATTGAAATAACGATTGCGATTTATTAAAGCCTCATATCAGTTTTAATGTAAATTATAATTAATATATCTGAAGTTGTTAATAACCCCTACCCTGTCTCTCGTGGATGAAAATGGACCCTCGCCGGGTCCGAAACTAGTCGGTGATGCCACCAGAAGATTGTACGGGAGTTGAGTCATTTTTATTTCATTTTTTATAATGTCTCATGAAAGTTTAAACAGCTTGATATACCTAGTTTTCGACATTCAATCACTTTAGGTACTAGTATAGTATTGTATTATCTGTAGGTCTACATACAACAAACTAATAATGTTTTGCTTGCTTTTTTTTTGCTTGCTTGCAAACTTGCTTTCTGTGTGCGCTGGAACTTTGTTCTATTGATGATATTTGTTTATAACTGGAACACTATTGTATATGGAACAATTGTAACTTTTTTGTAACGCAGAATAAAACTGTCTGTCGGTACTTAAATATTAAATCCTTTCTCTATAGACGGAAAACATTTCTTAAATTCCCTTAAATAATTAATTTTATTATCTTATAAATTCGGTATACGTTCTCCCATTCAGCCCGCGTCTAATTAAGACTGTCACGATAATTAAATAACATCAAAGTAACCCTGCTAATGTATTTCTCGCTCTTCTAAAGACAAAAGTATCCTTATTCTGGTGAAATAATAAATAATAATAATTTATTAAAATTAAAGTAAATTGACGCAATTACAAATGTCGTCCAGAAGTACTTTTTATTTCGATAACTAGCTTTCGCTCGCGTCTCCGTCTGCGTGGAATTAGAAAAAAAAACAAAGTAACAACGTTCTACATCTATGCCAAATTTTATCCAGATCCGTTCAGCCATGTAGGCTACAATCTCTAACAAACATCCATCTATCCATCTAAACTTTCGCATTTATAATATCAGTATGATTAACAATTGTATTACTAAGATATTTTCGCTATAAAGGTATCATAACAAAAGGTTAGATTAAAACTATTTTGTAATGTAATCGGACAGCAGGTAAATTAATAAAAGTCATTAAGCATCACAAGAACTTTGGACGCGTAATTAACATTAAAGGACCCAATACATTTTTCCGAAGTACATTTGTCAGACTCTAGATGCTTGCAAACGAAATGATACATTATTACCTCAAGAAAGTATCCACTCAATGTGAAGAGCATCGGTTCGAAGATTAACCAAAGCACTTTATACACCGTGGCTACAGGGTTGTCGTTGATGGGCCAGTCGCGTCGGGCCCACCGGGTCGCGGCCGTACCCGCGCAAATCATAATCGCTACTCCAGCTAAAAAACAAAATTCTCATTAAAAAGAACCTTAGAATTATCAATTAATATCAGCAATAATTATTATGAGTAGAAATGCAATGATTTTATTTATATCAGGTGATTTAGGCCTAGTCATCCAACTTAGGATAGGATCCGAGCCCCGCAGTCGGGACTTATAGAGAGTTTGTGATATATCAGGTAACAAAGTTAGCTTGTACGAATATGTATACTATGTTGTAGAATTTTAAATAGATATACCTATAAAGATTGTAATAAAGTCTCTTCAGTTGTTGTCTATAAATTATACTAAATTAGGTGTTTAAAACATTTTCACGTTTTTTTCCCATAAAATAATATATTTAACGAGTTTTGTTACTACCTATATATATTGTAATTTGTTATTGTTCAACCGAATTTGTCTGGACTTTAGCATTTAATACTTATGATGCAATTCCAAGAATTAGATTGTAATGTTTAAATGAATTACATTTACCAAATAGTCAGTTTAAATAAGTTAAACTTGATACAATTTTATAACTTGTTTCGATATCTTTCAGTTTAATGAATATCAACCTTGTTGTTATATGTACTAAAAACGATACTTATAATTAAGAATAATAATTCGTGTAATGAATGAAGAACGCCTCAGTTATAAACATTCTCATTCTTGATTGAATTTAATTGAGATGAAGGCTAACAAAGATGCTCCGGCAATTACTTCCACGATTTCAGTTACTCTCAAACACTCGTGTCCGTTGAGAGCACATTACGCCGCATTAAGGCCGCTCCTAATTAAGAGTCCTTGTTTTTAAAATTGTCATTAAACCTAAAGCAAAATTAATATAACGTTAATTTTCTTAAATTACAACGAATTTTAGTACACTATAATACATATTTCTGGTGATGCAATTTACTTGTTTTTAAGATAACTAAGATGAAATAAATTTTCACAATTAATTATTTATAAGGTGATTCCACCTTATAATTGACAAATTAAATATATTCCATCTAAATAGTGATATCTCTATATAACATTGATTTAGAAGCACGCCTATACCTATGGATTAACTATCGCACAACTGTTTAGTCGCGATTTGATTCCTATAAGCTTATATGGAGACACACTACTCGATTTTTAGTTGTGTAGAACAGTTGAATTGGTTACGAAACAATCGACAATCGCACAACAGTCGTGCGATGGTATAGTCAAAAATGTGCGCCCGCTCTGTCTTTATAACATTATTTCTTGTAACTGGCGTACTACAAAACCTTTATTAGCCACAATAAAGTTTAAATTCACGATCCAGAAGTTATTTAGTTTAACCGGCAAACAATGTTTGTGGTTAAATCAGAATTAATGACCAAATACGAAGTACGAGTGTAATAGAGATATCGGATTATTGATCGTTGTGCAACCGTCCGATGCAAGTTCTACTCTATTTTGGTACTGAATAGTTGATTTCATGATATTATATAAAAAAGGTATAAATGATCTATGTTTTAAGTGTTTTAATAATAAAGTAGCTTTTTAAAAATTTATTTATTTATTTAAATAACATTTGCATGTAAATGTACTAATCGTACAAATAAATTTAAATTTATGTTAATTGCCACATAAAAAGACAAATTAATTAGTTATTTTTTTATGAAGGTGACACAGTTGCGAAAAAAGTTTTAAAACTTTATGTTATTGAGTTGTTCATGTTACGGGACATTTCTGTCCGGAACACGACGCAACATTTACAATTTGCTACACCTGACTCGTTTGAACACATTTTTGGTTCATTTCAATAACCCTCGAGATATAAAAAACATCCATACTGTGGAATACTAAATACATTTGCGTTTCGTCAACAATTTCAAGTGCAAATTGTGAAATGACTAGAATATTTTCGCATGCAACAGATTTTAGGGGACCTTAGTGAGCTTTTATGTGGCTACACTCACAGATTAATGTTCAATAGTAATAGAGCGTCGGTGGCTCAGGGATTTAAACACTTGACTTGAAATCTACAGGTCATGGGTTTGAATCTCGCCATGCACCGATGTGATTTTCGATTTTCAAATTTCATGTGTACATATTTTACCCGACGTTCTTACGGCAAAGGAAAACATCGTAATGCAACCTGCACACGAGGACGCATAGTGACCTTGTGATGAATAATGGCTTTAAATTACGTGAAACAATTGTTCATTTGTTAATAAAACACAAAATATTAGAAAACACTTTCTCAACTTACACGTTCCTCCCCATCCGAGATATCCACCGGCGTATGTAAGCAAAAGACCTCCCGCGAAAATGAGAAGACTTCGTACCGTCGCAGCATAAGGGTCCTTATGATCCGGCAGAACGTCACAAAGTATACCCCAGCCAATGCCTATGCCGATCCCAACAAAAATGGCCAAAAGTGCCTAAAAATAATAAAGTGTATTAGGAAAATAGTGAGGTAATTTGATAACATTTCAACACTTAGATGCCTTTTAAACGTAAACTATTTAAATAGCTTAAAGAAGTTATGAAAGCTGGTACTTTTAGGTCCAAAAGCATCTGATATTTACATTTTTTACATTACTGACTATAGATATTACAACAATACTTGTGTAAGAATTTCTAAAAAACCTGATCTACAACGTAATTATCCTTATTAGATACTATTCTTATCTGATAACAATGCTTTATGTAAATGTTTTGCGAAAACTTTTTGAATGGAATCATTCTAAACAAAAATACAATATTAGAGAAAGAACGGTTAAAGAAAAAAGGAAAATCCTCACACATAAACAAACAAACTTGTTACGAATAAAATACAATTGGGTCCGTTGAAGTCCGGTTCCGGCCACAAGAGCCCCGTGAAGCGGTCTGAGGTCGGGCAAACATCGTGCAAGTATATTGGGTTCTCCGGCCGAATACATTATTTGAATTTTAAATTTCCTTCGCTACCCGTACATGTTGCACGGGCTTTTGCTTTCATAACTTTTGAGATATTCTATCAAATTTAGTTGTTGACGGACACAACAAATATTTTTAGTGTCATAGCCAATACTGCGAATTGGTAATTTCTCTATTTTATTATGACTTTTTTACTTATATCTAAATTTACGAATTTACAGATAAGTAAACAAAAATTGCGATTTTACAAAGCCGCTGTACGCTGTAATCTTTGCTGTCCGACTTTACTTACATTAAATAATCATTTGTGCGATGTTTTCCAGTATTAAGATAAGAAAATTACATATAACATTACAATTTTTTTAGTTAAATTTTTGTTTTAGAATGCAGCTAACAGATGGCGCTCTTTCATATATTTTATGTCTCAATTAATCGGAGTTATTGTGGTTTAAGGATTAAATTTAGGTTATGTTGCATTTATGTTACTTGTATTAGTACCTTAACAATCCTATAAGCTGGCGGTGAAGGATAAAAAATAGCGCTGTTGATGACACCGAACATGCCTTCTGTGAACGCTGTGTCCAGACCGCCGGCGTTCGCCACTAGCAGTGCGATCTTGTTCTTTGTGCCCAGACCTTTTGCATTGAAAGCCATCACTGTTGGTACTACGACAGCTGGTGATACCGATGCCAGTATAGCACCTAAATGTATACCTATAATAGTTTATGTAAATAATATATTAATCTTCTCTATCTACCAACACTTGCGGCTTAATACAAAAAAGTTTATGTTTCAGTACAATTTCTTTTAGCCATCTCGAATTTAAATTAAATTTTTTTGATGTACAATTAAAGCATGAATGAAAGTGAATGTACTCTATTCTTAAACAACAATTGTTCAGGAAACTCATTGCGAAGGCCGGAGCTGTTACTTAGCCTCGTAAATCGCGTAAAAAGCGCTTTCCGCGCCACTTACCCCAATACCAAGGATATTCGAGTAGAACGTGAGTAAATATGGCCGTAGACAAACATTCCACGATCCAGGGTAGAGTTGCCAGTAGAAAAACTTTCATCGAATTATTTCTTATATATGGCCAATTCCAACCGAGAGGTCCTTTCGTCAATATGAGAACGGGGTAAATTCGTCTGAAACATAAACAATTATCAATAAATTTGTATTTTTATTAGGCATCATAGAATAATAAGCAATTTAGGCATCTCATCGACACTTCAGGATAAAAACAAGTTCTATAATGAAGGGGACAAGATCAAGCCTGCATGAATTAAATTTGCTATTTTACAATATTTCTCCTTCAATAGACACTGAATGTTTATAGTTCCCTTAATTAGAGGCGCATCATGTTTCAGGGTAGTAACCGTTAACTAGTTTCTATTCGATCTTAGATCCTTACAGTTTGATAAGTGTATGATTACTTTGCTGTTAATTAAATGTTAGTAGTCTGCTATGACGAGAAAGAATGTTCGTAAGTATGTCAATAAAAGTAAAAAAGATACCAATTACACAATACGTTAAATTGATGAAAGATGTTATCGCAAAATATCTGGAATTTATCGAAGTGTATATTTCACATTAATATCTAAATGTTTTAAGGTACTATTAAAATTACATTATATAATATGTAAATATAAAAATACTATAATTCCAGTCCTTTGGTTCATAAAAATTAACCTTAACAATCATAATTGTAGCTTTATTTCATTTTAATTTATGACGAAAATAGAATAGACTAGATTCAATATAAATTTTCTAGTAAGAGCATGTTGGACTTTATGTAATAGTTGTTATGAAGAAACATCGCACGTCGCAAGGACAGTTAATGTTATTTCTGTATTGGAATAGCTCTTTGTCATCGATAGCTGCACGATCCTTTTGGCTTAGTTTTATAGAAAAGGTTTTCGGCGTATCATTTTCTGTGTAAACAACGATTCTAGTTACTGTCCTTGGATCGTTTTTCTACTAACTCTTCTACACTATACTTGTATTTTGTGTGCCGTGAGTCAATTAATAACGTAAATATTTACGAACGTCGTTAGTGGAGTAAAATGCTTACTGTAATCATTGAATAAGTTATGGCAGTCCTATGCTACAATAAAAATATATACAGGATGTTTCAGTGTCCAAGAGGTATTATATGTTGGATTAAATCATCGTAAACGACAAGGAATATGTAGTCTTCCGTTGTACACGTCTTACCTGAACATCCTGTATAAGAACTGTTTCCTTAAACTATACTATTTAATGTACATTACGACCGGTCTAGTCTTTGAATGAGTCACAACTTGCCAAAACATACACATATGTTAGCAAAGTAAAACTTCTGTCTTAAGGATAATCATAGTTATATATACAATAACAAGACTCGTGTGTTACGCTTCATTTTCATGTGTGTGTGTTTTATACACGAACTAAATCTAACTAACTTGTTTTATCTATATAGTAACAAATACTTTACGTTCTAAGCTCTTTATAGCGTACAAGAACGGCAGTATGATTTCATCGCAAGTCTTATGTTACCGTGGACCGGTAGTACACAGTACTGGTATATCGCGACGTGTATTTCCGCAAGTCGTTTACCACTGGGGCCATATTGCTCCATAGTCCCAAAGGAACTGTGAAGTAAAACGCTACCGAGATTATATTATGTCTTGAGAAAACGAGCGCAAATACAATGTAGAGCAGTATTTCGCAAATTGAATTTTCGGGTTCATTATTTTACATTACAAAATTATCTGAATCTCAGATTTTTAAACGTATGTTATCGATATTTTAATAATTAAGGTTAACTTTTAATTTGAATAAAAAAGAAAAGAAATCCTTTCCAAAATGACAAGTGAAAATACAAAAATATTTTACACTGATGTTTGGACATGGGTATATTTATTTTCCTCGCAAATACTATTGATGTCGATGTTATTTATCTTATCGTATATAAAATTCCTTTACGAAAGTAATTACTTAGTTACTTTCTTTTGTTCGTGCAAACACTTCAAAATAATAAAGACATGAAAACAAATATTCAAATAAAAAATAGATAAATCGTTAAAAAAAATTGTACAAAAATATGTTTTGCCTTCCATTAAGTTTCCCAGATCCTTATTTATCATGTAGTCAGATAATATCAATAAAACTTTAATGTTTTTTTATTAAAATACTTCACATACCTCAAATGATAATCGATTGTGTCTGCGATAGGATCATCAATAAAGTTGGTATTTCCAAAAATTTTAAACAGAACACCCACTAGAGTCATTCCAGCCATTGCATTGATGGTCGTGTATCTTTCCAGTGTATGACCAAACGCATATCCCGCTGCGACCATAACAGACAAGTTGAAAATACTGGAACCCGGCATCACAGCCTCTTGAAAGACGAACCATAATGTAGCCCAAAGTATTATCCCTGAAAACGGACAGTAAAATGTGTTAAGACAATAAAGCATAATTTCTTTTATTAAATTCTATTTGGGATTGGGACAATAGATAGATTTCGTCCTCCAAATCGATCTATCAATAGACATACCAGTCTTTACTCCCCAGACATTATACAAATACCTTATTTCAAGGAGTGTTTAAAAACATACATCTAATAAAGAATATATTGTAAAATTCAAGGCAGAATATATTTTGTATATCTTGTTAAGATGTATTCTTATAAAAGTATAACAATGATTGTTATAGAGTTCAGGGGAAAAACCTTCAACTTATTCAAACGTAAATATTTGAAATAAAAAAATGTCTTTTACACAACACATCATGATCTACAATGATGTACATATAACTCAAGCATTTCAAAATAAAAGAAAGAAGAAAAACAAAAGCATAGCTAACTCACGCATAAATCATGTATTAAAAATGAAGAGAGAGATGAGTTACTAAGAAACACCTACCGAATAAAATAACTCCAATGTATTGTTTCAACTCTCGCTTCGATGGTAAAATGTCCAGCAATTTGAAAACGAAGCCTTTGTTTTGATTCTCTTCTAGCCGCTTCCTATATACGAATAACATGCACATTTTAAAATCCCATAACTCTTCTAATAAAAAAGAAAGTTTGCTTAACAAATAATTTTTATATGCAAAAGACATAAAAATTATTATTAGTTTAATTTCAATTGCTGGTATTGATATGCAAAAGTCTGAATTTTGAGAAGAACCTGCATTATTTTTACTAAAACAAGTTAAACAAACAAATTCATTAATTTCAATTCCTTACGTCTGAATGTCAAATCTTCAATTAATGCCATCTAGTGATCTTTTAGTTGCACCACACAATTATTTCTTGTTATAAACTTCTATGCATCCATCACAAATAATGTAAAATACAGCAATTAGACAAAATTACTTACTCACGTTTTGGCGCTTTCAAAATCCAAATAGAAATTCTTTATTGTTTCCTTGCTTTCATTTCTTTCTGTAATAGATTTATTTCCTTTTCAATAATTATAATTATATAAACTTTTATAACCTTAACATTTATTTTAGCTATAACGACCAATCAACGGAAATTCAATAATTTGTCATATAAAGACTACTTCATTCACGAACACATTCCATTTAAATTAACTAATTCTAAATAATGTATTAATCACTGTAATAAATGAAACTCACCTATTCCGTCATCAACCGTCATTTTCGGTGTTATACTGCACGTTGTTTTAATTTTTTTTACGAATAAATTATTTTTTATTTGAGCACTTAAGACGACAGTCAATCAACAAGCACTACTCTTAATTGTCTTGTAAACACAACCGTCGGCGGTGTCAAGCAAGCCAAACGACATGCGATCGCGTTTACCGTCCTTCTAATAATAAAGTTCGTCGCATGCGCACTCCGGACAATTGTGCTAATAGAAAATGAATTATTATTGAAAGTGAATCCATCAATAGTGTTACAGAACCAATGTTAGAACAATTGATCTGCAACATTTGCTTTACGCGAGCTATAATAGTTTAAGTTCGTGCAAACACATCGTCATGTATAAATATTACATTACTTCTGTTCATAAATTCTAATAGGCAATGCTTTGATGACTATAAATCTATTCTTTCCATAATGGCGGAAGAAGTAAAATATGTACTAGCTTTACCCCGCGACTCCGTCCGCGTGTAATTAAAAAAAAGGAAGTAGCCTATGTGTTCTTTCAAGCTATCGTTTACATGTAAGCCAAATTTAATCGAGATCCGTTCAGTCGATAAGGCTACAAACTCTAACAACCATCCATCCATCTAAACTTTCGCATTTATAATATTAGTATGAAGTAAGATGGTGAAATCAAATAGATCTCACCACCAGCGGGAGTGTTATGTTTTGTTGATTGAATTGTTAAATCTTTTTTTTTACCAAATTACGATGGTATTTTCCTCATTCTTATTGTAGCATAACTTAGCGAATTCGTGTAAAGTGTCAGCGCGTACTTTTTGCCTACGTTTGTGACTTTGCGGGCTTTTATTATTTAAACAAATTAGTTTGAAGTAGAAATAGATTACGTTCCTTGTTAGAGCAAAATACTTGGCAGTTATTCAATAGTAATTTTATTTTTAGAATTCGTAGATACTCAGCTGATGTTCTATTAATATATTTTTAAGCAAGGTTTGATGACGCTGTCTGCTTTTGTGACTTTACCTTGTAAATAAATTTTCAACAAGTTCTTTTGAACATTTTTCTGCTTAATAAGTAATCCTTTGGCCTCATACGTCTTGAAAGCGTCCGACAAGCAGCAAAGAAGATACCGTTTATTAACACAAAAGAAACTATTAAGGAACAGGTGCTTTAAAATAATGGAAAAGTATTCATAGAATTCAAAAAGAAGGAAAACATCGAGCGAATTCTATACAGCATTACAAGTAGTCGACGAGTCGGCCATTCGTCGTCGCAGTATTAAAGGAAAGTCATTTCGACGGTAAACACTAACGCAACGGAAACGCCTTTCACGCAACAGCGGCTGCGGCGGTCGGCAAATGGCAGGGCCGTGGCGCGCGGGCAATTTGCGCCGCGACACCCCCCGGATACCAGCACCTCATTAACTATGAACGCCGTCATCAAGTCGTCTCTTCTGAAAAAACGACGTTTAACAGTAGCACTCTCGACGAATAAATGCTACTGCTAGGTGCTTTTGAACGCCCACAGACACAAAGTGCATATAAATTGCGCCGTGAAATTGAAACGGCGATGTGAAAAGAGCTCCGCAGTAAACTTTAGAAAGACAAGTCGAGGCTGGCCTCTTTCAAATCCACAGCTTCTTATCAGAATGAAAGGCTGAGGATTTTACAAGAAAAGTGTTGATTTTGTATCAAAATTTTTGCTTTTCTAGTTAATTAAAAAGCTTCTAATTTGTATTTTAACGCTATTTTATGACAATGTTAAAAGAGTAAAGATTTGCAGGATCAAAGTATAGATAAATTTACTGTAGGAAATGAGAACGGTAAAACGCCTTGACTAAACCTTGGCCGATTTTAACGAATTTAAAAAAGAATGATGAATACATTAACTACAATTAACAATTTCAATGGTTACTATCAAGTGAAATAATGTTATTGATAACTTAAATAAAAACGAAACAAAAACTATCTTCGATTCAAAATAACCTTAGTATAAGGTAAGCGGTTATAAACAATGTAATTCTATTATAACATCATGTAATGTGACTTAAATCCTAACCGAGAGGAATGTGGTTTAAAAAGTCGATAACATTCGAGAACTTGATTGGGATGTGTCTGTGGTGATTATATGATCTTTACTTATTTCCTCTTTATGTCTTGTATGTTTATGGGAACGTCGCTGGCTTTATCTATACTAATGTTATAAAGGGGGAAGATCTGTACGTTTGTATATCTAAAAGAATAAACTCCAAAACAGACAGATTCTTTCATCAAGCCACATTATCACTTAGTAATAAAGGTTACGTTTATTATTCGAATATTTAATTCCGCGCAGACTAAGTTGTTAGCAAACAGCTCGTATATATTTTCTCTTCATGTCAGTAACGGATCTATCCCGTTCCAACAAGGAAAGTTAGTACTAAGCTACTATGCTGACAATAATACGGTTTTAGTAGTACTTTATGTGATGCGGTACGGCTTACTAAGTTTACGAGTGTTTACGACGTATATATGTGTAAAGGCCGTCGTATGTTATACGATAGCAAATAATATTAGAAGAATGGTTCTCATATTAGGAGTGGTCGTATACATTTGACGAAACTATCGCACTACTGATGTGCGATTGTCGATTATTTCGCAGCCAATTCTACTGTTTTGTTGCACTAATAGATATCGAAGCGTGACCTAACAGTTGTGTGTTAGTGTAGTCAAAAGTACGCGCATGCTCTAAGTCTAATAATAGAGTACATTTGTAAAGATATAAGCTAATTTTGCATTTTAACAGGAGATATTAAGATATATCGTTTTTTTTTAATTGTTTTGTTATTTTTCAAGAAAAGAAAGCCGAAGGGAAAATTAACGTTGCAATCCAAACTTTGACACGCCTTGCACATCATCTTGACTGCCCTGCGTGATTGTTTTATCGATAGAGGAGGAGGACGCACAGAAAAAGAATGTTTCCCCTTCCTAGTCATCGCCTGTTATAATATACTTCCTCTTCCCTTCCTTTCGTTATAAGTAGAGGGTAGGAAGGGGAAGTGGATAGAAATTAGGCTTTTGGCAAGCTTAGTCATCAGACAAAACGCTGAATTACATCCACATCCCGCCCGTCATCCCTGTGGTGGTGGTATTTCACCTATCGGTGCCGGCGCATTTGTGCAACATGTTGTTGTTAGAAGTTTCGGTTCAAGTCTTTACATCTATGATCAAATGAATAGCTCTTGAATCTGAAGCATAATTAATTATAACAGTTATCGTAAAGTACACAATATCTGTGGTAATAATTAACCTGAATATAAATGTAGGTGTTTTGTATGTAAAACACAAATGTCATCATTTACATGTTATAAACAAGTGTAACATAAGCAGGCTGACTCATTACAATAGGAATTTACACACATATACTTTATTTCTTATTAATTCCATAACTACATCAGGTTAACGACGTTTTGATATAAATAAGTAATTAGTACCTACAGTCATTACTGGTATTATGATAACATATCAGATGACAAACCTTTTCATTAATTAGTTATCCGAGGATCACTTCACTTAGATTTTGTCATTAGAAAGGTACATTATCACATTATCACTTAGTAACATTACGCTATGTTTATTATACGACATTTTTGTATTCCCAGCAAATGTCGCGAGCAAAAACTAGTGTTGTTACCACTTAATTCGGTTACTTAACTTTTATTTAGATACTTTTTATTATTTCAGTAATCATTCTGGACAAAAAGGCGACCTAATAATTTTTTGTTCGATTTAAATGGTACATTTATAGATTTTCAATGTAAAAAAGTTATACCTACGTTATTTTTATGAGAAAAGGGACCTAAAGTGTAGCGGCAGCAACAAGGTGATCAACGATATCTATGGACGTTCGTAACACCAGAGGAACTATAAATGCTTTGCCGGCCTTTAGGAATTACTCCCTTCTTGAAGTACCCTAAGTCGTATTGGTTTGGAAATACCGGCGAGGGAATACTATTCTACAGTCACAACGCGGCTACGCGATTACCTTACGTTTACCCCATGATGGACACTGTCAGGTCTATATTGTAACCAAGTAAGATTCCCGTTAGCACTATTACTGTGTCTCAATCGCCAGACATTCCGATATTAGCCGCTGCTAAAGGAGCTAATCCTTGTACTTTGTAACTTTGCGTTTAATCCCGTATCAGAGTGTTTGTCTGAAGTTTGTAATTCCGTGTATAGTGAAGCATTAGAAACTGTTAACGGATTTATATTGTTTCGTATGAAATACTGGTCACACATTCACCATAATAGTTACCTTAAAAACGCTGTCTTAATAAATGACGTCTCTGCAACTGCTGACATGTTAAAGTTGTTTTGATGTTAACAACATTTTTTATTATAGATCTGAATGTATTATACATAATGTTGGATATTTTTAATGACACTTTAGGTACCTTATTTGTATAATCTACTAGCTTACGCTTGTAGCTCCGTCCGTGTGTAATTAAAAAGTGAGTAGCCTATGTGTACCTATGTTCTTCCAGACTACCCTCTATGTCAATGCTAAATTTCATCGAGATACGTTTAACCGTTTATGCTACAATCTCTAACATTCATCCATCCATCCATCCCAACGTTCGCATTTATAATATTAGTATGATTATTTATCCAGTGACTAACTTTGGCTGTGAATTTAATTGTGAAATGTGAAATACAATTCTTCAATAACATTTGATTCTAATTAAGTAAAAGGACTTTAAAATGTTCTCATGTTAGCAGTAGTTATTTGCCGAACTTTCAAAGTAAGCTAGGGAAATTTTAAAAAGTTGGAAACAAAGAAGTCATAAAAATGTATGAGTGACATTAACGTCGCCTCCGACATTAAAATGAAAGCGTCCGCATTGCTACTTCAGTGTTAGAGCTTCAAATAGTAGGTTTTCAAATTAAATTTTCATTTTTATAGCTTCACGTGTTTTGTATTTGTCTCCATAGCAACAAACTAAATGAGAAAGATTAGGGCACTAAGATAATATAAACATGAAAATTGCAATCTTATAAGATGCTGTTCAAGTGTTTACTTATGTTGGATGGGTCCTGTATTTCTTCACTTTTTTAATCTATGTAAGTATATGTTAATTAGGATATTTTAGCGAATACATTAAGTGTTCACTTTCAAACAATAACATAGTACTCACGATCATTTT